GCAGACACTAACTCACCTTGGGCAAGTCCCTTTCCCTCTACAGGCTTCAGTTTCCCCATGCATAAAATAAGTTTTATTTCCTCGCTTAAAGCATCCCAACCCTTTACTTGAATGACATTTTGTACCTTACGTCCCAAGCTATTCTGAAATGGGGGGAAGGGAAGATGTCTGGACGTGGTGGGCACGGTGGAAACAGGAAGAAAGCTATTACTTAGGAGGCACTGTGGCAGAGGTGTCCAGCTGCCTAACCTAACATCTGTTCTACGCTATTCCTTAAAAACAGGCTGCCCGGAATTAAGACAACACCTCTTAGCCTCCATTGAGATGGCTTATGTTAAGGCTGGTAATCTATAGCTGGAGGACAGTGGACAATGTGTACATCCTTAAAATGAGGGAGCAGTTTTTTGGCTCCTTCCCTCTTCCTCTACTGGAATGTGGATGCAATGGCTGGAGCCTAAGCCACCAAGTTGAACCATGAGGTAGTCTATTAAGGATGTTGGGAAAGCAAAAGAGAAAGAGACTAGGTCCTCAAAAGGCTGAAGCCTCCAGAACAGCTCTAGACTACCTTCCTCTGTCTGCTTAAAACGACAGAGAAATACACCTCTATCTCAGTTAAGCCATGTTTTTTGTATCACATGTGACTAAAATGAATCTGAGTCGACACAGACATTATGAAGGAATGACCGAGAATGTCTTGGATATTCCAGCTGAGGGGGAGGGAGATGCCAGAGGAGAGAAACAGGTCTCTTCTTTCAAGATAAGAATATCTGGATTTTTACATTAATTTGAAAGAATGTTATTTGAGTTTTACAGCAACGTTTCCCTCAAACACCTCCAGGCCCCAGTTTAAGTCACTAAAATAGTTCCCACTCCTAAGCAACGGCGTCAAGGTCTTATTCAAACAATAGGACATGCACATGGAAAAGATGCCCCTCGGAACCCACGGGGCAGGAGCGCTCACCTGCGCTCTCACAGGTAGGGAGGGATGGCTCTCCCTCCTTACAATGCACCTGTCGATTTTCTTTTTGTTTCATAACAACTCCATTTTGTCACTCTAATTTTAGTGGCAATGTTTTTGTTCCAATCAGCGATCATTTTGGAAAAGTAGGCTGCTGGAAGAGCTCTTGGCATACAAAATGACAAGCAATTTTTAAACGGCATAAGACGGATGATTTTTAACTACACAAATTCTAAATCTGTTTCGGGCTGGTTAGCGCTTCTTAGAAAATAACTAGCTGTCTCAAAGAAGTGATGTCCATTCTGCTAGCTTTAGCACGGCAGAAGATTGCAGCGGGACTACTGTGTGCTGGGTGGGGAGTGGGGAAAGCCCAGGAAGGTTTCAGGCAGGGTCCCTGCCCCCAAGGAGTGCACGGTCAGGGGACAAACACACAGACAGGGGAAGTGCAGAGGGACACAGGAGCTGGGCTTTGTGCATCGAATGCTGGCTGCAAAGAAGA